TAATTGCACAATTTCTTTGGGAGTAAAATTGTTTGGACTGATATTGATTTTCAGTGACTAGGAGCAAATACCAAAGCTGCTTACACTGGCATAACGGATTTGTACCTAACTCTTTTTGGACAATTGCGCATCTACAACGACTTATATATTGACCCAATTAGACTTAATCTCAAAAGCTTTAGAACGCTTTTTGATCAAAATTTACATCTAATCCCAAACATGGATTCTTTCTTGAACTGTGCTAGTACTAACATTTTAATGAAATTATTTAGGGCCGCACCATTCATTACAAAGACTGTTTATTCTTAATTTAATCCACATACATCGTCCGCCTAGGGGTGGGTTAGTGGGCCGGAGGATGCTCCCTGGCCTAGCCGTTTATCTTTCTTTTTATATTCATCTCGCTCGGCCCACAGCAGGACGAGACTGGTTTCGAGCGCTTTCCGACCGATATGCAGAAGCGAGCGTAGGTTGACCCGGGCTGCATGCGAGCCAGTTTAGCCCGCTCGTTCCTTGCAAAAGCCCAACTAGAAGGCTGGTCTGGCATTGACTGGTATCTGTTGCTCTTCTCATCCTGAATTGCACTTAAATACCTATCGGTTTTCCTCCTACTGTTTACAGCTCTATATACCCTCCTTATTTTGATGACAACTTCGCATTATCACTATAGTTTTTAAAACTTGCATTTCCCCTTTTATATACCTCATCACTGTTTGGCAACTTCTGTTACCACTTAAAGTTTTTAAACTTAGACTTAGATACCTAAGTTTTTTATAAATTTTGCATACTAAAACAGTCGGTTATGCAAACTCAGTAGGAGTATTAAGGTAGCAAGTTTTAAAAACTTCAGGACACTTGACAATGACACACAAGTGTTCAACCAATTTTATGCGGAACATTGAACATGGGTTATCAACGGGGATATATGCTAATGTAGTTCAAGAAAGATATCTAATGATTTCACTGGAGAGTATATTATTCAATATATGAGATTGTTTTGTTCCTGAACGAGGGATTCATGAGGATTCTAGAGGCCATCAACAAGAACCTCATCTACTTTCGCTCTGGAAGAAAAACAAAGATCAACTGGGATGTCGAAGAAATGCACAATAACAAAAGAGTATGCTTTCTAATACATAGTATGGGATGGGTCACTATGCATTGGAGAGTTTTTAGGAAATGGCATTTTGTGGGTTCTTTGATTCAACAATAACTAGCATTTGTGGAAAGGGGAGTCAACATTAGTTCTAGTGTTGGGCGCAGAGTCATGCCTCACGTGCGGAAGCGATATAACTGAGATAAACCTGTTTTTGTTTTCACAACGCTTCAAAGTAACCTATATATTTTCGTTTACAAGTGAAATAAGGACAAAAGTACATATTAACAAGATGAGATATTACACTCTTCTCTATATTACGATCTGGTCTATTGAGAAACCAACATAGCATAGTCAAAACCAGAAAACAGTAACGACATGAGATTTAGTGGTTTCGGAAATGCCTACGTCATGGGGGGGGTGGAGAGATTCGCTATGAGGGAGAAACGAAGACTTTTAAAACCTGATAGCTCGTCGCAAAGATGAAGCTATTTTTTACAAATAAATTGACATTCTTGTAAATATCTCTGAGCTTCTTTTTCTCGTCAGAGCTACCTTTTAGATCTTGGAAAATCTCTGTTTTTATCTAAAATAGCTTGCCAAAACACTTAGAAAACCCTACGGAACGAGTTCCCATTTACTATCAAAGAAAACAAGCCCCAAACATTTCTCGAGTTAATTTAGGTGTCGAAGACAATGTTTAACTGTTCTCGGGTGAAACAGTGACGAGAGCACGCTGTTACTATCTCACTATGTTCACGATCAAATTCTATACCTGTACTCATTTGGATATACCCAAATTGACGAAACCAGAGTAACACAGTGAACATCACAGGAGAACATTTGAAAAAAAAGGCAACTAGCCAACAGTGTACCATTATACATGGTGCTACTAAAGGGGTGTCCATCCGGCAGCCCGGACTCCGGAAAGACAGCTCGGCCGGGGCAAAACGAGCCCGAACCAGACCCGATTTGCCGGGCCGGGCCAGGTTTTTAATATTTTACTTTTTAAATTTTTTTTTTAATTTTAAAGAAAAAAACAAAAAACAATTTTGATAATATATTATTTAATCATTTGAATAATTATGTTTTTTCATATAAAAATATAAAATTAAATATTGAAAATAATTATAAGAATATAGATTAATTAATTAAAAATAAATTGTAGAATTCAAAGAGTCTAAGACAATCCCCAAGGCCCTATCAAACTTTTATAAGTTATATATGTTGTAGCTATAGGATTTGATCCATAACTACTCTCCAAATCCTAATTTCACAGTGACTTAAATAGGCCCAAACCTATTCATGTCATTCGAGATATTTACATAAAATTTGTATAACATAACATTAATTATATAATATATATTATATATTATATATTAGTATATGATATATATTGATACTATATAGTAAATATATATATACTATATATATATTATATATTATATATTAATATAATATATAGGTATATAAATATATATATTATAGTATATATTATATTTTATATATGTTAATATATATTTATATATATATATATATATGTAGTTATATATATATATTATATTATTTATATATATGTATATATATTATATTATATTATATTATATATATATATATATATATATATTTATGATATAATATAGTATATATATATATATATATAAATATTTATTATATATTATAAGATTATTGTAATTATAATAGGTTATAAATACATACATAAAGATATTAATATATGTTTATATACATAACATATATATTAAAATAAACTTATATGTACAGTATATAATATATTATATTAAAGTATATTATATATAGTATAACATAATGTTATTACATATAAAGAGAGAGTAATTATATAATACTTATATACTAAGTGAAGAGTTATATATATATTATATATATTATATATATATATATATATATATATATATATATATATATATATATATATATATATATGGGAAAAGTGAATCTAAGGTGACACCCTAGGCTCCCACCTAAGGACGCGGTCTAGAATCACATCATTTCCTAAATTTTTTTGCGATCCGCTCCGTTGAACTTGATCTACATGTTCTTAAACCCAAACACACCAATTTTGGGGTGAACCCGTTGTGTTTTGATCATTCGTTGAGCCGTGCAAAAAGTTTTATTCATTCGAAACCGTTAAAATTACAGCGAGTGGATAAAGGATCAAAACACGACGGGTTCACCCCAAAATTGATGTGTTTGAGATTAAGAATGTGTAGATCAAGTTCAACGGAGCGGATCGCAAAAAAAAAAGGAAATGATGTGATTTTAGGCCGCGTCCTTAGGTGGGAGCCTAGGGTGTCACATTAGATTCACTTTTCCCATATATATATATATATATGGGAAAAGTGAATCTAAGGTGACACCCTAGGCTCCCACCTAAGGACGCGGCCTAGAATCACATCATTTCCTAATTTTTTTTGCGATCCGCTCCGTTGAACTTGATCTACACGTTCTTAAACCCAAACACACCAATTTTGGGGTGAACCCGTTGTGTTTTGACCATTCGTTGAGTCGTGCAAAAAGTTCTATTCATTCGAAACCGTTAAAATTGCAGCGAGTGGATAAAGGGTCAAAACACGACGGGTTTACCCCAAAATTGGTGTGTTTGGGTTTAAGAACGTGTAGATCAAGTTCAACGGAGCGGGAGATTTATCTTTCTTGTGTTGAATTCTGATACTCATTTAAGCAACACAAGCCATTTCTCTTGATCAATTGGAGATAAAAAAGCAACTCAAGTGGAAAAACATTCAGATATTTTCTGCTGACTATATTCATTCATATCAGATATATTATGAGTGACCTTTGTCACCTTCTCGTGGCAAACTCAAAGAGCCAATATTTTTCCTACATCAAAGCCAAAAAGGAGTATACATATAAAAAAAGAACATTAAAATCATCTTGCCCGTCGGTGTTTTGTGCACCCTTGTCATTCACTCGCGCGCCCAATTTTAAACGTTTCGAATGATAAGAACTTTTTGGACAGCTCACGGACGAATGGGTCAAAAACACGACGGGTTCACCCCAGAAATTGGCGCGGCCTGTGTTTGGGAGTTCTGAAAGGAACGTGTAGATCCAAGTTCAACGGAGCCGGATCTGTAAAAAAATATTAGGGAATTGACTGTGTTGATTTTAGGGCCGCGGCTCGTGGTCCTTAGGTGGGAGCTAGGTGTCCACCTTAAGGATTCGACTTTCCCCGTATAGTGGAGTAGTATAGTATATATATAGGTTAATATATACTTATATATAGTATATAGTATACTATTAGTGCTATAGTATATTAGTATGTATACTATGAGGGGTTACTGAGTATCTATCGACGTATATAATACATTTTGGGGAGAGGCTTTATCTTTTCGTTGTGTTGAATTTGATACTCATTTAAGCAACACACAGCCACTTTTCTCGTTGATCAAGTTGCGAGCATAAAAAAGCAACTCAGAGTGCGAAAAACATTCAGACGTTTTTCTGCTGCCATCTGTTATTCATGTCATATCGAGAGGTATATTATGGAGGTGACCTTTGTCACGCTTCTCGTTGCCTTCGGAGACTGCTGACGCTTGGATTCTTTCTATGATCTTGCCCTGTTGATGGGTAAGTGATGAATTAGATTAAGGGTAAATAAAGAACATAAATTTGGAGTTGACAGGTTTTTGTGTGTAATTTGCCAGGCTAAATACTTATTTTTTGAGAATTTATTTCAGTTTGAAAATAACTGATTGCTGACTTCAGTATGTCGTGAAGAAATAAAATGAAATTTTCTTTTCAATTTTCACAAAATTGGTTTTTAAAATAGAATTTCTAACTTCTAAACTTATAACTCAATAAGATGGGAGGAAAGCCAAAAAGGTAATATTGCTTGTTGGCTTCAAAAACTTGAAGAAATTAAAATCTTCTAATGGGCAGAAGAAAATTAAAATCAAACTGCGAAGGGTTAATTACCTTGCACATATTTGGAGGGCAAAGACCGCAACGATGTGAACATTTGTTGAAATCATGGTAAGGAAAAATCCTCAGCCTCCCCTCTTCATCAACATAGCCAGGGTTTGTGTTGATCTCAGAGAAGCACTCAAAAATTCCATGGTGCTTAAGGATTGTCTCAATGAAGAACAAGTTGGCATCACTCACCACCCTCAAGTCACACCTATAACAAAAAGGAAAAAATGTTGGAAACACGAAATCAATAAATCTCGCAATAATATCAAATTACAAAAGCAGAAGAAAGAAAATTATACCCAAGAGAATGAGCTGTTTTGATGGCTGAAATCACATGGGGATCCAAAGGGGCAGTCTTCAAGCATTCTGCAATCTCCTCAATTGCCTTCCCCTGTGAATGCAACTCCCTCATCATCCTGTCCTGCAATCAAAAACAAATTTTGAACGTGACCCAGTTAATAATTTTATCCAAAAATATTCTCTGCGCAGAAGAGATCAAATTTTCGCAACAGAACAAAAACTTTGAAATTGCATACCATGAGAGAATTCCAGGGCATCGTAGGGAGGAGCTGCTCAAAGAGCTCGGTGGCGCCAAGATTGTCGACAACCCAGTTGTCGCTGTCGACGTCGATGATGGTCTTGTCAAAGTCGAAGACGATCACCGTTGAGGCCATTGCTGATCGAAAGTTGGAGTTTTCGGGGGGGTTTTGAGTTTTGATATTGTTTTCTTTTGTTTTTCGCTTTGAGAAAACAGAGGCTTAATGAGGAGAGTTATTTATGGGGAATAAGAGGAGAAGATGCCAAAAGCATATGCCCATTGAAGTTTGAAATATGCGTTTCTAGGTAGATGCTTTTCTTTCTTGGTTTTTGAATTTTGATTTTTAAATATGCCATTCAATTAGTTGATTATTTACTATTGTTGTTATTATTCCCGGAGGCAGTATCTAGGGCATCCGTCCGTTATATTAACACGTAGGTACCGTTTGATAAAGGGTTAAGTGAAGGGTTAAGGAGACTTAACCCCTTCTTAACCTGCCAAACACAATAAATTTATATAAGGGTTAAAGTGAGTTAACCCTTCATAATTTGTCAAACATAAAAAATATAGAAGGGTTAAGTTAACCCCTCTAGAGGGGTTAAAATGAGTTAACCCCTCAAAATGAGGGGTTTACTAATACTCCTATTTAGATGGAATAAGAGTTAACCCTTCTAATTGTAAAGAAAATAGTCAAAATCATTGTTATTCCCAAACACTAAAACTGATCATAAGGGTTAAAATAAAACTTATTTAACGGGTTAATAATTTAGTCCTTCGGATTATCAAATGGGCTAAGTACATTAATCCTTCTTTTTAACCCCTCTTCATTAACCCTTTGCCAAACGAGGCCTAACTGATTCAAAAGTTAATATCATTTTGGTGTACCATTTATTCTATGGATCATTTGTTATACTTCCTCATCATCATTGTTAGTTAAGTTGCTTGAATATAGCATCTTGGACTTGAATAGATTGGCTTTGCATTATGATAAAACTATTGTTATTTTTTTAGTCATTGGGTCTGTAATTTAAAATTTTAGTAGAAATATTATGGATAATTATTATGATTTTAAGTTCTGTAATGGACTCTACTCATAAGAAGTATTGTAAAATCAATTTAAAGGTTCCAGGTAATTAATTCACAAAAATGATGAGAAAACGTGTTCTTAAACATCATTCAAAATTCTCCAAAGGGATGGTATCTCAAAGTGCGGAATATATCTCGAACAACTTCAAGCAAATAAAGGATAAATGATTTAAATGATCCATGCATAAAGATTATTCCATACTTGCTATATAATTATTCCATTATTAATCCAGGCTTGCTATATAAATATTCCACCCCCAATCTTTCCTAGAACCACCCAAGGTGAGGAACTTATGAAGGATATTCGAAAGAATAAGCTATTCACTTTTAAAAGTGGCACGAGTCCTTTATGTGGGTGAGCTTACCGCGCAGAATATTCTAGTGAATCTCCCAAGCTCGCCTCTAAAACGTGCCTGCCTTCTTTGAACCACAATCTTCCCCTAGCTTTTTAGCCCATTCAAATCTAGAGGCTAAGCTTGGTTATTGATAACTGCCAAAGATCTCTGTGGATTTAGGGATTTTGTTTGTATAGTAATAGAAACAAGAGGAATTTGGACCGCGTCCTAAAATACAGGTTCTACTGTTCATCACACGTTTTTTCAGTGGAAGTGGGAGCACCTACGCTCCACTAGTAAGAATTTACCAAATAATGACATGAGCATTCAAGTAAACTAGTGCGCACCTCGTGCAAAGCATGACCCGATATTTTTTTAAGCGCTGCATTTAAAACTTACATTCCTCTAAATTTTAATACATTTAATTTAATTATTGTATGTTTAAAATTAGAAATCATACCTTTTCCTCTATACTTAAAGAATGATCTAGTTTTAATACATTTGATTTAAAAACAATCTAGTTTTAATACATTTGATTTAGAAATCATATCTACTCCTCTATACTTAAAAAAGTATCAAAGTTTTAATACATTCAATTTGCTTTACTGTTTATGATACACTTAATTACTGTAACATAAATAGTAACTTCAAGTATGGAGGAGCAGATTTGATTTATTGTTTACGATATAGTAAATATTGTAGCATGAACAGTACTTCGAGCGCAGAGGATCAGATTTGTTTTACTGTTTATGCTACAATATTTATTATGGCATTTACTGCAACATGAACAATAATCCTTTGGATTCTCTTTAAGAATAGAAGAGTAGATATATAAGACAATCTACAAAAGTGGCAACAAGTAACAACTATATCGTGGTAATATTTGTGAAGCAAATTAATGGACTGAATTATCAGATTAGTACTTTTTAGAACAAACAATGATAGCAACTATATTGAAGAGAAGAGCTTGAACGGCCACTACAAAGAAATTAATTTTAATACAGAGAAGTAGAGTGCATGATATTACCTACAAATAGTTGAAGAGAGAGTTTGAAAAGCTAAAAAAATGCTAGGCGGAAAGTGATTTCACGTTCTTTTTTTTTGCCGTGCAAAATTGTGGGTCTAATTGCACATCTAGCTTAGAAAATACCAAATCGTCGTGAAACCAACAAAAAAAAAAAAATTAAATTAGTAAAATACATGTGAAAATATCAATCTAGTAATTTAGCCCAAAATGCTTCATTGCAAATTGAATAATTAAAAGGATTAAAAAGAACGGGTATCCAAATGAAAAAACGCTATTTGTCCACCTGCCCCCCTGTCCACCAAGCGGAACCAGTCAACTATCTTAAAATTGATCCTCTTCCTAACCGTTATTCATATCACGTGCATCTGTAGCCTTGTGAGGGCTAGCCAAATTACCATGCAATTAGTGAATCAACCTAGCTAGTATTTGTTCATGGTGTAGCGCACGTTGCTGATATATTCATGGAAAAACTAGTTCGTTAGAAGTTTAAATGGGGTCCAACAGAAGAAATTGACTAATAACAAAAAACGAGTGGTATTTTCCAAACTGTGCATCGGAATTAGACAAATAATATATAAAAATTGCGTATTTTTCTAGATGGAGCGAACCAAACCCATTGTTGTTTGATTTGCTACCGTATTTTAAAAAAAAATCACTCTGGATTGAGAGATACCAAATCTTTTTGTCAGTCTTTTACTATTTTGGTAATGTTTTGCGAGTCTGTTTTGATTAGGAAATAAATTTGGTTTGATTTCAAATTTGACTGATTTATTTCCTCAATCACAAAGAGTCTTTTTATTAGGATAATTTTATTATTTTTATTTTTGGAAAAATTTGAATCCTAGTAAGCGCCTAGTTTAAGCAGATGATTGTAAGCCACGAGGCATAACTTTTTATCAATAAAATTATTTTTTATATTACTTTGTGGATTCGAGGTTGTCTTTTTGTGAATTTGAAGATTGTTCTTTGTGAATTCAAGGAACACGCCTTAGTAGATTCTGAGGTTTTTAACTTTTGTGCTGCGTTAATTCATTTATTTATGTAAGATCTGAAACAACTTAGGATTACAATTTGCTTGCCTTGTAATTCACTTAGCTTGTAATCCACAAATGGCTTACAGTCATGTGTATTATAATTCAAATTGTTTGGTAAATTATGTGGATTGTAATTCATTTTTAGTGATAGTGTGTTTGGCAAATGAGTAGCTTATAATATGTTTTTTGTTGTCAAATGATCGATAAAGGGTCGGAGATAGAGAAAGAGGGTTTGGAATTTTCTTAAATACTAAGGAGTAAAGTGTTCTTTTACTAGGTCAAACTATGTATAACTTATAAGCCCCGAAATAAGCTGCCCATGATATCTTTTTCTGGTTTAGAAGCCAAAATAAACTATTTCACAAACATTATCTTGGTGGCTTATATAAGCCACAAAAATGACTTATAAGCCTCTTTAACTAGTTACAAAACATGCTATTAAATGAACATTAGCAACACACATATATTTGATATATCTGAGAGTAACTAGATGTCAAATCGTTTAAACTCCTAGAGTGTCCACACATGATTATGGATGATATAGTATGCAAATTCCTTAATCACGAAACGATCAAATATGTAAAACTAAATTTGGTTACATTATTGATGGCCTCTTGAATGCAGTCAACTTCTCTTTTCATATCAAAATGTACAGTTTTAACTAAATTAATTACATTCTCCAAATTACTTCTCCTCATACTACTAAACACAAAAAGTATGAAATAATTCCGCTTTTGTTGTCATCAAAATTGATGAGTCATTGACTCATTAAGCATCTCACGGTATTTGGGAGAGTGCACAGTTAAAAGAGTAGTCTAGTCATTACCTTTGTAACACTTCTCTCATCATGACCATCTATTGTGTAATTAATAGTTATACTTAATTACACATGAATAACAATTACTACTCTGTGTTCATACACATATTTGAACGACTCATATTTGAGTTTAGTTTTTTTTGTATTTTTCTATATCAGTCCCTAAATCTTTACTATTTTTTAAATTTATTCCTAAAATTATTGAAATTGGTATTAGGTTCCATGATTCTTTTGAGTTTTTCTAAAATTACTCCCTAACAGATATTGAAAATGGTATCAAGTTAATTGATTCTTTTGAAGTTGTTTTTTCAAAATTACTCACTTAATTCATTTATCTGTATAATTACTATGAATTATTGGAATTTTAAACTGATTAATTGATTAAAAGATATTCCAACGTCATCTTTTAATTAATTAATTAAAAGATATTCCGACATCATCTTTTAATTAATTAATTAAAAGATATTCCGACATCATCTTTTGTTGATATGTGGAATTACTGTGAACACGTGATTGTGGGGCCCCCAAGCAAAGCAATCACGTGTGAAGAATGAAGTTCACGCGGAAATAACCAGGCCCACCCGATTCACAAATACACTATATATATCAACATAATTTGTCACCTAGGTTTTTGGGCAGTGAAAGGGTTTGTGCGGCTACAGTGCGAAGGCGTGCAGGAGATTTGATTTTTTTTCGACTTGGTTATTCTTTTGCGGCTGGAGGATAAAAGCAGTCGCCATTGTTTTTGTGATTTTGGTTTTTGAGCAGCCCCCTTTATTTAGGGTTTTGTGCATCCCTTTGAGAGAGTATTTGTGTGAGGGATTTGAGAGTTTGTTTGAGGGTTTAGATTGAGTGATTGTAAACCCTAGTTGTTTTCTCTCCCTCTAATAGTAGATCTCTCCCCTCCTTGCCCCG